AGGGGTGGCCAGACGGGGACCACCACTCACACAGGGGTGGTCAGACGGGGACCACCACTCACACAGGGGTGGCCAGACGGGGACCACCACTCACACAGGGGTGGCCAGACGGGGACCACCACTCACACAGGGGTGGTCAGACGGGGACCACCACTCACACAGGGGTGGCCAGACGGGGACCACCACTCACACAGGGGTGGCCAGACGGGGACCACCACTCACACAGGGGTGGTCAGACGGGGACCACCACTCACACAGGGGTGGCCAGACGGGGACCACCACTCACACAGGGGTGGCCAGACGGGGACCACCACTCACACAGGGGTGGCCAGACGGGGACCACTACTCACACAGGGGTGGCCAGGAAAATTACATAAAATTTTACTTGAATTTTTTCTGCAGATCTTTGTGTTTTGATCATTTCCTCATGTCCTTTTACAGACAGTGACCTTATAAACATGGGTATCAAAACCATTTTAAAAGGGGGCGACACACTGTTGGGGGTCTGGGGGGTCATCCCCCCAAACATTTTGAATGAAATAGATGCCATTTCCTGCATTCTGGTGTATTTTACCAGGTTGTTTAACATACTTTTACCTACATAAATAAACCCTTGATTTAATAATTATTTCAGAGACAGATTCTTCATTAAACTGGTTCCATCCTCCTGTTTTTAAACTCACTGCTACAGCTGAGATAAGGTTAATTAATGTCACATTTTATCATATCAAATGACTTTAGAGGTGCTTTTTACTTTAATATTGTTTAGTGATTTATTTTTAATTTTAACACATCACATGTGCCAAATGATGACCTTCAACTGCATGTTTAAAACTAATATTAATAACTTTACCCACTGAACAGAAGCAATACTGATCACCACCAACAGTGAATTTAGAGCCGCCGCAAAATGGGASAGGGACCTGACTTTCTCTCCTCACCCCGATTCCTGGATTCAGATTAATAATAACACTTTTATATTACCTATATTTATTAATTATCAATCCTCAAATACTGGTATTTTGACTAATATTAAGACCAATCACGTTTTACTTTAAAGCTATTATTTATTAATTTATTAATTTATTTCACTTCTCCTTTCTGTATCTTCTCTTTGTTTGTTTTGGTTCTTTGCTTTGTTATGAAATGTTGCACGATTGTCTATGATGTTTGTCTTTATTGTGTTGTAAAAACAAACAGAATAAAAAAGAATGAGAGAACTGGAGGAAAACAACACGTGCATTTTTCAGATGGCCGATCCTCCACTTCACTTCGTTGCTTCCAGACGAATTTCGCGCCCTGTGGTCCTGCGTCGGTTCGTGACGTGACGTGACGTGAAACCCACCTGTGACTTCAGCTGCTCTCTGTCAGCTGCTCTCCGAACAGACGCACGACTGCGTGATGACGTAATGAAAAGGTTCTGGAGTCCTCGCGCGCTTCTTCTTTGATCCGCGCTCGATGTGTGACGTCACTGTGACGTAAGTCCTAATTTATTCATCTGGTCCTAATTTATTCATCTGGTTCTGATTTATTCATCTGGCTGAGTTTTTCAACCAGTTGCTTTAAGTTCCCTGAGCTAAGAGCATATCTTAACAGATTGTGAAGATTGCTTTAAAAAAACATTTTTAAAGCAATTTTTTAAGAAAGAGCAGTTTTGAAAAGGTAGGATTGTAAATTTGCTTGTAAAAAATAATTTTTGAAGAATCCCAGGATGGCAGGAAGTACATGCACTTTTTCTGACTTTATTTGCCGAGGACTTTTTAACCATCCATACAGAACCTCTGGAATAGGTTCTCTCTGTGTAAGAGAAAAAATTCACTTTGCTGCAGAGAGAAAAATTGTGAAAAAAGTTGAATTTGAAAAAGTTAACACGTTTAAATGTAATGACAGTATTGTAATTCCACCTCTGGGCAGAACAACAAACACAGTACAGACATATGTCTGCTGGGTTAAATGCATTTCCTGCTGGAGCAGAGAACAATCTGCTGGGAAAATATGTTTTTTGCCTCTGCGTGGCATACACAACACATCGTACAAACTTTGTACGTTTTGTCTGTCTTTAAAAACAAAACATTCTGCTAAACCTAACCCTGTCCCTGCAACAAATTCGATTCCTGATAGTCCGGTTCCTGACAGTCCGGTCTCTGAGAGTTCGATTCCTGATAGTCCGGTTCCTGACAGTCCGGTCTCTGAGAGTTTGATTCTTGATAGTCCGGTTCCTGACAGTCCGGTCTCTGAGAGTTC